TTTCCCCCCCCCCCCCCCCACTTCCCATGCAAAGAGCAAGCGCAAAGGGTATCCTCCAAAATCTATATCTACATTCTGCTAGGGTTGAGAAGCAAGATTAAACCATGCACACTTGCTGTTTTTAAAAATTTAAAGGCATTCACACACTTGCTAATTGTATACATCTCTCTCATCAACCCTGACCCTCTTGTTTATGCAGCTTCTCTAATGCATGCTATAAAAGCTGAAGGCATGAATCCCTAAAACAGGAGTGGGGAATCTTTTCTTCTTTTGTCGAGAAACATACTCCCGGGGGGAGGTGGGGAATAGTCCAACTGGGGCTGCATGCGGTTCGTAGGCAGTACTGAAACCCAAAGCAGGCAGCCCACCGTAAAGTAGGGGCCAGGAAACCCAAAAATAAAAATCACTCAATTTCACTTCCCTTGAATTGAATTTAAATTTAGATGCGGTTAACTGGATTATCCTCCAATTACTTTTTCTCCTTCTCCCAGCTCAAACATTTTGAGATGATATTAACTTTTGAGGTTCGGGGGAGGGGCTGCCTCCAAGGCTTTTATCAGCCACCCTGAAACTCCCTCCCTCTTGGTGCTCAGTCCACCTTAAGTCCTCCACCCACACCTTTCAGAGGTCTGACCTGCCCCTCTGCAAAACGATGTCACTCCTGCTCCCATAGAGCTTCCCTGCTCCCATTTTTCCTGCTCCCCTCTGCGCTGCCCCAGATCCGTGTGAACTCAAGGAAAGCTTCTTCCTGCCCAAATCCCTCTTTTCCCTCCACCCTGAAAACCCCAGCTCTGCCAAAAAGCCTTTTTTACCCATCCGCGTTGCCTTCCGCAAGCAGTTAAGGGCTCCGTTCAGCCGGGAACATTCCTCCGTGTTGGCCCCGTATCTCTTCATCGTGTCTTTGACTTTCAAGTCATTCATTTCTAAGAAGGCATCGAGAGTCAGGTCCTCTGGAATCCTCTGCAGAAAAGATGGGTGGGGAGATATTTTAGAAGAGGGTCGGCTTCCTCCTCCCCACCCCCGGGAAAGTTTTCAGAGATTAAGTTCAGCCTGGTTCTGGTTGCTCTCTGCTGTATTTGGGGACTGAATGAATCACCCTTTGTGGTCAAGAGATGCTGAAGGATTTCGGCAGGGTCAGAACGGAGACCCCGACGTAACGCATTCAAAGCATGCAGCAGCTGCTTCAGCCCGTAATCCTCCCTGCGTTTCTCTCTCTCTTTAAAACAAGAACAAAGGGGAAAGACATGTATTTGCTGTTCAATGGTCCAGTCACTTCAGCTTTCGGGCAATGACGAAGCAGAAGCGGGAAAGGCTGGCGGAGTTTCATGCTCCATCAACCCTACGCTCTCCCCTACCAGCAAAGAGCGACATTGTGCGCTGACCTTTGCCGGAATCGCAACGGTGCCAAAACATTCCACCCAGCATCGCAACAGCAAGAAGAGCCTGTAACAGCCAGCTTGGAGGCGCACATGCCAATGCTTTAAAGAGGCTTGGAGCATGTCTGGCTGGACCTTACGGGAGTTGTGATCCAACACATCTGGAAACAATGAGATTGGGGGAAGCTGACTTCAATCAGCCCCATAAAGCTAGGGGACAAACTTTCAGTAGCCTGGAGCTGAACCTGGGCTTGGAGTCACATTCCACTATTATTATTATTATTATGATTGGTCGCACAGTCAGACAGATGTTTAGACCGGATCTGGCATTTTTATCCACCTATCAAGTCCTTCCCAAGGATCTGGGATAGGCAGATGTTGTTGTTTGATGGTGTTAAAGGTATTGTCGCGGGATGTTCCAAGTAAGCTGCCTTTTGCAATTGACTGATAGTGATTTTGTCAATGTTGTTTCATTATTATTATGGTTGGTCGCACAGTCAGCCAATTATTATTACCATTATTACTATTATTACTATTATTACTATTATTTCTATACGGCCTGACTCCAAATGACTCTAATACTAGAGGCCAACACAAAAACTAAAATGAATTTATTTGAAACTGGCTTTTAAACATAATTAAAATCAATTCATTAATACGATTACTCTCCAAAGGCAGGCAATTAATTATTATTATTTAATAGTCTCCCCTTCGGCCCATTAACAATTACAATTTGATAACGGCTCTGGGAAGTCTTGAGGGGGACACACACACACACACACACACACACACACACACACACCAGCCTCAGTTGTACATCTTAGCTCTAAATTATTATTCTCTTCAGCTTGCGAACCGGTCTGTGAGGGGAAGAGGGACTGAAGGTCTTTCCAAAGGCTGGCTTAGCTAAGCAACTAACAAGTGCAAAGGACAGATGAGATTCAAACTGGGAGCATCCAGATTCGTAGCTCAGCCTCACGCGCGCCAAGCTGCATCAGCTGTCAAAATACAGGCTTTGCCTTAATTCACGAAAGCGCATGTAGGGAGACTGGAAAGGAAAAGGACCATGTGCAGCCCAAAAGCATGCCGGGGAGGGTTGGATAACTGAAAGCAGGCCGAGATCCAAGTCACGAAGCAGAGGAGCTGCAGCATGTGCTAGGAATGTGTTCCAACACCAGATGATGCAAGGACATAGCTTAATGTGTACTGTACTTGCACAAGACAACAGCTTCTTGATTTCAGAAGGGATGGTTTTCCCCCTTTTCTTCCCCCTCTTCTCCTGAACAAATACAAAAAAGGCGAGGGAGGGAGGGGAGCATATAAGCCATCCAGAAGGCACAGAACTGGAATCACCCACCCTGAGCAACATCAACGCACTAAAGACATTGGTCCGAGAAGGAAACTGAAGGGTTCAAGCCGGAATGACAACATTGCCCGGAATCTTTTGGTCTCCAGTGAGCCAATCCTGGGATCACCTTTGCTATCTAGCTCCAAGAACTTGGTCAGGCTGGGCAAACGTGTTGCCAACCCCTTGACGTCTTCTGACTTTTCTTCTGCCAACTGTCCCTGGTGTTGATGAGCGCTGGACAGCTGTGTCTGGGAGGCACCATTTTGATTTCCCGCCATGCTCAAGGCAATGCTATTTTAGAAACCCAAGGAAATGCTGGTGATGTGCCAAGTTAGAATCCTAGCAGCGGGCAGAGGACACTCCAGGTTAACCCCTGGACAACTTTGTCCAGCCTGAGGAATTTAGTGCTGGTGGTCACCCAGCATGCTTAACTGAGTTAGGGAAAGACTAAGAGCTGCAACTATAAACATGCATAGCTTGATGAATGTGAAGCCAGGTTATCACTCATCAAGCTTTGCATATTTCGCAAATGTAGGTGTTCATCGGTATCTCGGTTGGTTAGTTTAATGCTCAGCGTAGGGCGATCCCTGAAAATGGGTTACTTCAGCACCCAGGTTAAGTATGTTGCTTGGAGGACAACAGACACACCCCATTGCTTTGTCCTGTGACTAGAACGCCACTGTCTTCCAGTGCCATCCATCCAAGTCAGAGGATGATTTTTCCGTTCTTAACAACCCGATGCAATCATGTGTAGGATTCATTGGCTTCCAGATACAGACATACCATATTGCGGGTTCAGTTCCAGACCACTGCAATAAGGTGAATATCGCAATATAGAGAGTCACATTAGCTTTTTGGCTTCCCAGTGCATATAAAAGTTATGTTTACACTCTGAACTATTGTAACTTTTCTGTTAAGTCTATTACGTGTGCAATAGCATTATGTCTAAAAAAAAACAAAGTACATACCTTAATTTAAAAAATTCTTAAAATAAGACAACAGTGAAGTTTGCCGCACTGACTGACTCTTCCTTTCACGAAAGATTTCTCTGTAGCATGCTATGCTGTTTGATAAACGCAATATTTGCGAAGCACAATAATATGAGGTAGGTCTGTATAAAGGGCAAACTGAAACACAGCCCTGGAGTGGTTTGAAAGTGGCAACTGAGAAGGTCCAGCCCAACACTTTTGCCAGCCCACAAAGAAAACTGGCTTTGCCACGTTCATCTAGGCCAGCCAAAACAGTTCCAAGAGGCAGCGCCCACAGAGAAAAGGGTTATGTGCCTTTAAGAGGGATTAAAAGAATATTAAAAGGAGTGGCATGATTGCATTTCATCACCTAAGCAAAGTATACCCTTGAAAGCTGGCTAGGTGAATCCATGCACAGCTGAGTAGTGAAAGGGACTGACTGAAAACATAGGAAAACAGATAGGAAGAATTGACAAAATAGTTTTATCTACCTCCTCCATAAACATACACTTATTTATTTACCTAATGAGGTAGGTTGAGTTAAGAGATAGTGATTGGCCCAAAGTCACCCCATAGGGGTATGCCAAACATTTCACTGCAAACCATTTGCAGTCCAAAAGTGTGCTAAACGTCACATTTCAGGTGCAAAGTGGGCTGTTTTGAGAATTTCTGTAAGAGCTTTGAGCTGGACAAAGAGCTGTTCTGGGCTTGAAGGACTCTGGGTTGTGCTTGAGACAGGTCATTTTGCAGTCTTGAACTTGAAATAGGATGTTGTGATGTTTGGAGCTACTGCTCATCAGGTTTCCATGGCTGAAGGTGGATGTGAACTTGACTCTGCCTGTCCTAGTACAACACCTTAAGGGCTGCACACCATTAGAGAATAATATGCCCTATCGATCCACCCCTGTCCTTGGTGATGACCTGGTTAGTTTCTGGATGGGAGACCACCAGAACATCTCCAGGCTCTAGGCCAGTGTTGTCCAAACTTGGCCACTTTAAGATGAGTGGACTTCAACTCCCAGAATTCCCCAGCCAGCCACATTGCTCTAGGCTATAGATCACAAAGATGAAAAACTTTCTAGAAAAAGGCAACAGCAAATGACTTCCATTTGGCAGCCAAAAAATATGGACAAGATCATGAAACCATCAGAAGCTGAGTTCAGCTCGAAGGTGACTTGACATACGAGACAGTCACATCCACAAAATCACACAAATAGCCACAATCATATTAAAGAGTAGTATGAAGCTGAGAGGATGGGGGGAAAGGTGGATGGGGGCAGCAGGGGGGAAAGGGCAAGGAGGATGGGGGGACCAAAACCAGGGATTGAAAAGTCACTAACATTTTTTTAAAAAATGTCTAGGCAAGATTGAAAATAAACAAATCACAGAACAATATGATAAATACTTTTGGATAGGAGACTACCACGAAAAACTCCAACAATCCTTTTTAGCCAGAGAGCATAATCCAGTCCCCTCAACTGCCACCGTTCTGACATGCTGGACAATTCTCACCTCTCCGAACTTCAATTGCTTGTTTTTTCTGGGGATGATGAGAGCTGCAGTGCAAAACATCTGGAACACTCCAGTTCAAGGAACGCTGATTAGTCTGTTCATTAACATAATTATGTATGCTGAAAAACTGGCAATCTCCACATTTTACTGGGCTATCTTCTCACATAATCTGTTGCCTGGAACATGTTGTTATTGCTTGCCAATGGGCTGGCTTGCACCCAGGATCTTAAAGAGACCTGCTATCAATGAGTAGAGGAGGATGGGTGCAAGCACCATGTGAACAGTCAGTGTTCTTCAAAATGTAACTTGCAAGTTTGCTTTCACTGGATTTTGTAAAAGAAGCTTCTGGATCCTTTGGTACAGACTTTAAAACCCAATTGGCCTTTATTCAAATACTGTCAGGGAACCATTACCCCCAGATTCAAAGCATAAAACAACAGAGACGTCTGGTAGCTCTGCTGAATTCCTGAGAATTGTTAAATCTTATAAAAAGCAAGCATGTAGTTCTCATTGTTTAAAATTTCAGAGAGATTCTGAGGCAAGAAATTAGAAAGATTACTTTTATACGTGCCTAATCCTCCCCCCACCCTTTTATTGCAGATTTCATAGGTGGTTCCAAGTTTGAAAGTGTTCTTGGCAAAGTACAGGCCTGTTTGAGACAGATCTACAGGATTCTTGCAATCTGTTTTCATTTCCCACACACTTACACTCGGGAACAGTGCAGGAAATTAAAATGGTGCACCTCCAAATCAATTC